TATATATATATATATATATATATTAGTAGTATTTCGAGCTAAAACAAGCCGAACACGAACAAACAAATAATTGTTTGTGTTATTCATGTTCGTGGTATAAATTTAAAATGTAAAATACGTGTTAGATGCGTAAATGCATAGAAATTTTGTGGTATTTATGTAATTTCCCTTTTTTTATTAATTCAACTAGCCGAATGAAAAATAAAATTTAAAAAAAAAAAATCATCCTATTTCTTAAATATTTTTTTCTATTAATTCACCAAACATCCAACAAAAATAAACGTGCCGGCCCTACCGGTGGTATAAATTTAAAATGTAAAATACGTGTTAGATGTGTAAATGCATGGAAATTTGGTGGTATTTATGTAATTTCCCTTTTTATTAATTCAACTAGACGAATGAAAAATAAAATTAAAAAAAAAAGTTATCCTATTTCTTAAATATTTTTTCTATTAATTCACCAAATTTCATCCAACAAAAATAAACGTGCCACGATAAACTCTTATCATCCAAACATTTTTTCTTATAATTGCACGTGTTATTTTTGTAATTTTTATTTTAATTAATTTAACAATTTAAATATAAATTTATATTAAAGTCCTTCGTTATTTTTGAATTTATGTATAAGTTAAAACTCAAATTCATATCATGCACAATAAAAGTTTCAAAAGCCATCCCTAATCCACATAATTTTTCTTATAAACAAAAGTAATTAAATATTAAACTCTTAAATATAACAAAATTTTAAAAGTCCGCATAGATGTTGGCAGGAGTTAACGCTAAGTATGTTCATTACTCCCTCAAATTCAGATTTTTAGAGAAAAATTTGTTTTTTTGCGGCTCCTGAAATATTAACTTTACGTCTATTAAAATATCAATTTTATCGCTCCTAAAATAGTGTTATTTATGTATATCATACACACGCAATTCTGCGTGCGTACCCCGTATGACCCCAAATAACCTTCCAATAACTCGATTATTGGGGGTTATTAAGAGGTTTTTGGGGGGTATTAACCCCAATAACATCTCAATAACCTCTCTATTACCTACCAATATATTTTGCGATTCGACGCTCATTTTTTTTCTATCATTCGTGAGATCATTGAGGCTATTAACCTCAATAACAGCGACATAACACTGCAATACCCTCTAAATAATCTTCATACACACGCAATTCTACGTGCATATATGACGCACGTAAATATTTTTCCTCCTGAAAAGTCTGATTTCGCCGGACAAATATTACGTCAGGACTCCAGGTGTAGAGATACATTCGGAGTCGAATGAAATCACGTCACGTGGAGGTGACAAAAAAAATTTAAAAAAAATTCGTTTTAGTACATTAGAATATTCCCCCCGTGTTATTTTGCATTATTCAGGTATTATTATGGTTGTATTCGTATATTATTGTGTTCTAGGAATATTTACAATGTTATAATAACACAGTAACACATTAATATCAACACAATAACACTTGAATAACATTGTATAATACGGGAGTAATATCCTCTCTCTCTTATCAGGTCAGATCACAAAAAAAATGAGTTTTTCTCTCTCTCTCTCTCTTATCAGGTCAGATCACAAAAAAAAAAGAGTTTCTTTTAATTCATTCAACTTAGAGCAAATCTCTACGCCGGAAGACATAATTTTTCGACTTCGCCCCTACAAATTTCTATAAATCGAGCTATGTTGTGAAAGCAACAACACTACCAAACTCCACCCAAATGGCTACTTCCCTCCACTCTGCTCTCCTCCCCCATCTATTCCTCCTCCTCCCCTTCTTCTCCTCCACAACCATCTCCTTCAATCCCTACGAAACCACAATCTCCCAAATCCAATCCGCCTTCTCTACCAACCAACTAACATCCCGACAACTCGTTCGCTTCTATTTCTCCCAAATCCGCACCCTAAACCCTAAACTCCACGCCGTCATCGAAACCAACCCCGACGCCCTCTTCATCGCCGGAACCTCCGACTACCGCCGCAACCTCGGCCTGCCCCCCCTCTCCCCACTTGACGGCATCCCCATCCTCCTCAAAGATAACATTGCCACACTCGACCGTCTCAACACCACCGCCGGCTCTTTCGCCCTGCTCGGCTCCACCCCCCCTCGCGACGCCACCGTCGTCCAACGCCTCCGCCTCGCCGGCGCCGTTATTCTCGGCAAGGCGAGCTTGAGCGAGTGGGACAATTTTCGATCAATCAATGCGCCCGACGGATGGAGCCCGCGCGGGGGACAGGGGGTGAATCCCTATAACCTAACTGCCGGGCCCTGCGGATCGAGCAGCGGACCGGCGATTGCGGTGGCGGCGAATATGGTGGTGGTGGGGTTGGGAACGGAGACGGACGGATCGATTCTCTGCCCGGCGGCGAGGAATTCGGTGGTGGGGATAAAGCCGACGGTGGGATTGACGAGCAGGGCGGGGGTGGTGCCGATTTCGAAGAGGCAAGATACGGTGGGGGTGATGGGGAGGACGGTGGAGGATGCGGTGGCGGTTTTGGAGGTGATAGTGGGGTTTGATGTGTTTGATGCTGCGGCTACGGCGGCGGCGGCGCAGTTTATTCCGGCGGGAGGGTACCGGAGGTTTTTGAATGCGGGGGGATTGAAGGGGAAGAGGATAGGGATTTTGCGTCGGGGGTTTTTCGATTATGCTCCGGAATCTGTGGAGAATGCCACTTTCGAATCTCACTTTCTCACTATAAAGTATATCCATGTTTCCATGCAATATTTCCTCCAATTTGGGAGAAAAATTTGTGTGTACATAAGATGTCTTGTGTATGTCAGAGAGTTATTCAGAGAGTATTGGAGAATCATATTCACGTTATACTCCTTGTAAATTATCTGTAACCTATAAATATATAAAAACAGAAACGCAGAACTTGCTAGAAGATACAGGTAGGTTACATGGAGGTTACAGGGGTATAACGTGGATATAACCCTTCAATGCCCTTTGAAAAATCTCCCAGGCGTACGAGGTGTTACGTACGTCTTATGTACGTAAATTTTTCTCCCAATTTAGGGTGATATTTTATCTCAAAATCACTCTAATACCACATCAAATATTTTCTCCAATCTCATGGCATTTACATACATACCACTCAATTCTTACGTATTTACATATCTATACCTAAACTTTGATTATTAAATTTATAACGTCAAAAATATCATTATTTTTATTTTTAAAAATTAAAAATTACAGCTTTTTATGCATAGGAAAAGAGGCGTGCATGTGTGTAGAGCTGAAGCTTGCATGCTCGATCTATGAATACAAAAGTTTTGAGGGTTAGATATGCAAATGCATAGTATTTGAGTGGTATGCATTTAGATCCCTAAATCTTTAATATCATATCACATAAGAAATACCACCACTATTAACTTTATAAAGTCGAAATATATTTTTCCATGCATTAAAGTTTAAATATATATTCTCATGCATAGATTTATCATATCAAGATGATATCACTATAAATATGGCATATTATATTTTTTCTTAAATACAAATACATAGGATTTTTTATGGTATGCATGTAAATTTCAAGATTGAACATCAAATATGTAAATACATAAAAATTGAGTGGCAAGCATGTAAATCTCATTAAAAATACCACCACTATTAACTTTATAAAATCTAAATATGACACCAAGTTGGTATGATTATAAATATGAAATGTTAGAATTTTCTAGTATAAATACATAAGAATGATATGGCATGTATGTAAATTTCTCATTTTATCCAAATGCATAAACAATATTAAAAGTAAATAATAAATTCAATTGCCTCTAACTCAAATTAATTATTTGCATTTTTCATTTTTTTTTTACAGGAGAAAAGGAGCCATTTTAGTGGATAATATTGAAATACCAAACGTGGAGACAATATTAGATCCAACTCAAAGCGGTGAGGTGGTGGGACTATTGGCCGAGTTCAAACTCGCCCTCAATGCTTACCTTAGAGACCTCATAACCTCGCCCGTTCGATCACTCGCAGATGTCATCGCTTTCAACAACAATCATCCGATCGAGGTATCAAAATACAAGATTAGCACTAGTTATATTCAGAGTTTATAGAAGTATCAAAATCGTTTCTAGATTCTTTAAATTGAGACGGAAAAAGTCCCCACAGAGGATGATCAATATTATGTTCGTGGGAGAAAATATTACGTCCGTCATTCGGAGTCGTGAATCGCACTGGCGGCATGGTGCGGTTCACACTATCATTTTAAAAGTAAAATGCAACACATCATGCATAGGTTTATGACACGAAGATGATTTAAGCGTAAATATAAAGTTTTGGGCATGGGATATGTAAATATGAAGTACTTATAATAATGAACACTCAAGTTGAATGTTTTCTTAAAATAAATTTAAAACATGAGATGAATCATAATTGACATCTAATGTATTTACATATCTAACATATAAACAAATATATATTTACATGCATACCATTTAAATCACTAACATCACATCAAAAAGTTAGATATGTAAATACATAAGAATTGTGGGGTATATATATAAAATTTCCTATAAAATAACCCTCTTAACGCAATCACTTGGACCTTCTGCGGCTCCAATCAACCTTATTAACTCAAACAAAATAAGATTTGTATTATATAATTGATGATAATTTTATTTATTTATTTTTATAATGTATGTAATAAAATATTTAAAATTGGTGTTATAGAAGCATATAAAATATGGTTATGATGGATGATTGCTAGTAGAATAATAGGACGTATAGAAGTGATGTCTTAGTTTACTAGCAACAATATGGAATGCTAATAGAATCAAATATTATAGATTTAGACCTAAGCAATATAAACAAATAAATATTAAATGAATAAACTTTAGGATCCTTTTTATTTTTTATTTTTAAAAATATTTAAAAAATCAAAAAAATGAAAACATAGTTTTACCAAATGCCACAAATTATGGTGTGATATTACATGATGCCCGCTGCACCACTATCCCAAACACGAAAAAAATATTCCAACCAGACGGTTAACCACCGACCGCCACGACCCCCGCCGATTAGTTGTATGACGATGTGGCGTCCGGTGGTTGGCCATTCGGACGGACGGAATATATTCTCCTCAAACAAACCCTTTGTTGTAAAATGAACGCTAATCATGAATGAAGACGAGAAAAATTAATTTAATATTTTCTTAAATTTTATTTTGCCAAAAATAAAGTATTAAAATTGTAAAATATTAAAAAAATTCCTATTTTATCGTTTCAATATGTCATTAAATACGACCGAATTATAATTAAGGAAAGAAAAGAAAAATAAACTTCTAAGAAGAATTTTATAATTGCAAATTTTGTCCTTTTTTTGTTCATTTCAAAAGATTAATAAATGCTATTAAATTATAATTAGTGGAGGAGTATAAAGACTGTGAAATGTAATTAGGGTTGAATAAAGTACACATAAGAAAAAATATTAGGTAGGAAGCATCACGATACTGGTTTGGACTCTTTCTAATTATAATTAGTGGAGGAGTATAAAGACTGTGAAATGTAATTAGAGTTGAATAAAGTACACATAAGAAAAAATATTAGGCAGGAAGCATCACGATACTGATTTGGATTCTTTCTGATGGGCAGTCGTGCGATACACGATAACATGACCGCACGACAGACAATATTGTCCACTTGCGGTGGCGTGGTATCAGACCACATAGTAAATATTACATACTGTGACCGCATGTCTGGACGACAATCCGGATGGGTAGTTGTTCCATACACGATTCGTCCAGACGTGTGGTTCACTTGCGGTGATGTGGCATCACTAGTGGCTACGTAGTAAACATTACATACTGCAACTGCACGTCCAGACAACGGTCAGAATGGGGCAGCGTGCATTACACGACAGCATGAATGCATTCATACTATGATCCAGATGTCTGGTCTGCCACATGTAATATTTTCTCCTTCGTGAGACACACGTAATATTCGCTCTTAGAAAAGAATACAGTACACATAAGAAAAAATATTAGGCAGGAAGCATCACGATACTGATTTGGATTCTTTCTGATGGGCAGTCGTGCGATACACGATAACATGACCGCACGACAGACAATATTGTCCACTTGCGGTGGCGTGGTATCAGACCACATAGTAAATATTACATACTGTGACCGCATGTCTGGACGACAGTCCGGATGGGTAGTTGTTCCATACACGATTCGTCCAGACGTGTGGTTCACTTGCGGTGATGTGGCATCACTAGTGGCTACGTAGTAAACATTACATACTGCAACTGCACGTCCAGACAACGGTCAGAATGGGCAGCGTGCATTACACGACAGCATGAATGCATTCGTACTATGATCCAGATGTCCGGTCCGCCACATGTAATATTTTCTCCTTCGTGAGACACGTAATATTCGCTCTTAGAAAAGAATACAGGCAATGCAATTTAATTATAATTAAGGAAAGCAAAGAATACTAATTTATGACACTCTTACAACATAAATTTTGTATTCAAGGACAATTCATTTACATATATAGACTCGCACTTTTTTCTATTTATAAAATGAGCCCCTCTTTAAAAATTAAAATAAACTTTTCATGTATATGGCATGCACGTTAATGAGATGAATTGCATGGACACGTGGATGCAGGAGAGGTTGCCGGAGTATGGGCAGGCGATATTCTTGGCGGCGGAGAGCACGACCGGGTTGGGTCCGGCCGAGAGGGCGGCCATTAAAAATCTTGCGGAGCTTTCTAAGAATGGATTGGAGAAGGTGATGAAGGAGAAGAAGTTGGATGCGATAGCATTTCCCGACCGCGCCGGCGGCGCCGATTCTCGCCATCGGCGGCTATCCGGCAATCAGCGTGCCGGCCGGTTACGACGACGACAATGTGCCTTTCGGCATTGGATTTGGAGCGCTGAGGGGGTCGGAGCCAAGACTGATCGAGATTGCTTATGGCTTCGAACAAGCTACCAAAGTTCGAAGACCTCCTCAATTACAGGCTTCGTTTGAAAGAACTTAGTCGTTCTATCATAATACTGAATTAAGAAAGTCAGGCTGTTAATCATTTTGATATAAATAAATAAATATGTGCTGGTGCTATAAATAAATGAGGGTTCTTTTTTTTTTTTTTGGGAAATTTACATAGATATGGTACATAATTCTTATGTATTTACACAATTCATACCTAAGCTTTTTCATATTTACATATATATGGTATACACAAATTTGAGTATATGAAATTTTTCGCTAATTTAAATCAAGCACACCTATTTAAGTGTCTAAATAAATAGAGCCCACCTGTCGAATGTGGTTGAGTCGAGCCCACCTGCAAAAGTGCCCACTAATCGAAGGTGGATGAGTTAAGCCCACCTGTCACGCAGTGGCAGAATATAGCTCATTTGTCGAAGATGTCTGAGTAGAGCCCATCTCCCTATGTCTATTGGATACTAGGTCCTGTGTCTCAAAAGGATTCAACACTAAGGGTTTTCATAATCTATCGCCTTCTAGGCTTCTAGCTATCGAATTTCACATATAAATTAATGATTGAATATCTATTTAGGAATGAATATTTTTAGGAAAATTTAGAGGCGTACCACTTAATTCATATGTATTTACATATCTATACACCCAAAGATAGTTTGTACGGATCTCGAGGCAATCTGATGGTTCATATAAGAAGAGTAGAATATCATATACAACTCTTTTTATAAAGCAATAGAAATTGTTAAATTTTATATTTTGTCCTCTTATCATCTATAAATAGAAGAAACGTTTCGTGTTTTAGAGGTTTTTTGTTCCACTCTCTTGTAACCAAATATTCACTGCGATAAAATAGGTATAAGAGCTCTGAAAAGACCTCATTCGCCCCTCACCCCTACAGGGCAAGTCTTCTTCTTCCTTTCTCCCCCTCCCTTACACTTTCTCTCCCTCGATCGTCAGTCCCTACATTGCATCCATTGGGCATGATCGGATAAATCTAGATTCAACAATATCTAACATCTAAACTTTAATTTTTACATACATTCCGCATTATCTATGCATGAAAATGTGTATTTCATTTTTTAAAAGTAAAATATGGTGTTACTTTTTACGTGATATGAAAGATTTGGGCGATATAAATACTATAAAAACAAAAAATTTAGGTGCTAAATTTGTAAATACATAGGAATTGGGTGGTATGCATGTAAATGTTCCATATTTTTTACATTTGAATGTTGAAATTTTAAAATGCAAAATCAATGTATTATACTTTTGTGAAGTCCTAAAAACTTAGGCTTTAATTGCACATGCAATACAAGTTTGATAGCTATACAAAATGAGAAATTTTGATAATTTAGTTTGCAAAATCCAAGATATTATATTATTATTATTTAATTAAATAAATATTCATTACACTAAAAAATCCTTGTAGTAAACCTTTTTAAAGGATGCCAAAACAATTCTTTTTTTATTTTTCCCCTATCATAAGTCTTGTCACAAATATTGTCCATCAATTTTAGTATTTACATTAATTACAAAGATTTACATATATACCACTCAATAACCATGCATATATATATATATATATATATATATATATATATATACCCAATCTAAAGTTCAATTTCCATGCACATGACACCTTATGCATGAAATGATAAAAAGTGTATTTCATTTTTAAGCTCATACTCTTTAGTATCACATAAAAAATAATATTATTTGCAATTGTTAAAAATGAAATATATATTTTCAGACATAGATTTAAGGCATCAAAAGGTTATATTTGTAAATACAAAAGAATTGTGTGCAAGCTATATAAATTTCACTTCTTGTTATTATTGTTGCCATCAGACCACAGCTTTGTCTGTTTGGACAAACAATATTTTGTCAGCTTTTTCAAAAAACTGCTGTTGAAAACTGTCGTTTTGCCGCTAGTTCTGGCTAGGTGTGGTAACAGCATTCTAACTACAATCTCTCATTTTCAAGAAAAAATATATATATATATTATAATAATCATCACCATAACTTTTTGAATATCAAATTTTTTTTCAACAACTGCCCCAAATAAACTCATAATTCTATTTAGGGAACTGTTTTATTATTTGTTACTAGAAATTTCAGGGACAAAAATTATCCTTTTCAATCTTATTTGTTAAATTATGATGGTTATAAAAAAGCTGCTATGTAACTTTTTTGAGGAAAATATATGTTTTTAATTCACACCTTAACATTTTAAGAATTTACAAGTCACCAAAACAAACGCTTAATCTTTTGCACATATTTTATATATATATTTTTTAATTAGATTTAATTACATAACAATACCACATTATATTTTATCATAGTAAATGTATATAGTTTTATATGCATTGAAGACTTATTTTATATAACATAGAGCTCTCAAAAAAGCTCATCCTTCAACATATGGAAGTATCCCTCAATTAATGAGAAATTATTGCATCCTGACACAAATCTGCATCATGTGTCCAATTAAAATTGGCCACATCAAAATATGAACCCTCACGAAATACACTGATTGGTTATTTTTTTAAAAATGTGAAACTCATCATAACACGTAATCAATTTTAATTTGACACCTGATGTGTCGTCAAGCATCCTGATGCAACAATTTTTCCCAATTAATTGGTTAAGCGAGCGAGCCAAATATGAGCATAAATAAATAAATGAATTTAAATCAAACCGAACACGAGCATACTATTCATGAGTCATTTCAAGTACTACTTAACTTCGAACGAACCGCACACATACAAATAATCAACAAGGTTAAACTAAAGCTCTTTTACACAGAAAGCCTGCTCTAGAGCAATAAAAATAAATTGCTATCTATCTATCTATATATATATATA